GGACATGAAAAGCTCAGAGGAAACATTTTTTCAAGATGAAAATCTTCTATAGTCATATATGCGTGAGAGCTTCGTTTCCGATATCTTCCTGTAGGTATATTCAAGAACGATCGATAGCCTCTAATATTACGTTTCAGAAGTGTACCAGGTGCAACAAATTTCAATTAATAATTATTCTGGAACAAGTAGGAGAAAATTTGAAAAACAATAGAAATCTCTATAATGTTGAAACCCTGTTTATCGAAAACGAAGCTCCCACGCATATAATTATGTTCACATGCGATTATCATCTTGAAGAAATGTGTTCTTCAAGCCGTTAGAATCCTGCTACAAAATACGGACTGGAATAATAATGTTTCATTACAATAAGTAAATTATTCTCGGCATTTATCTTGAATCCCAGTTTTCGAAAAAACGAAAAAACAAAGAGGGGCAAAAAGTATTCAAATTCAAGGAAAAAACTGAATTGATGTTTTATAGAAAACATAGGCGTATACGTATTCGAGAGCACTCAGTAGCCCCAAATATTGCATATCCAAAGTGTGATGAGTATACCAAATTTCAATTCATCATTATGGAAATAGTCTGAGATTGGACAAATACTTGAAAAGATTTTGATTATTATTAGTTTGGAGAAGAGAAATAAAGGTATATAGAAAAAATATCAAATTTTCACTTATCTTTTTCTATATACCTTTATTTCTCTTCTCCAAACTTTTTTCAATACAAATTGTCACTGACAAGCTAGTGATTTTTTTTTAGGATCTCTGATAGAGAAATTATTTAAACGCAGTGACATTTTGGGGCCAATCATCTGATTCGTCCATACTACACGTATATTGAAATAATATTCATATTTTTATTTCAAAGAAACGAGGAGAGAAAATCCCAAAAAATTATGAATGATGACTGTACCTCCTCCTCGATTAACCTACACTGAGAGAAACTGGATATTAAAAATATCTACCAGCTCTGATTGTAATAACCATTATAAGGAAATCTCCTATTCCTGATCATTTTATTATTACAACAGTATTCTCTCCATTCTGTAATTATAAAAATCGATTTCTTAAATCATTTGTAATACCCTTGAATGGACATTTGCTACCATCATAACGCAGGTGTGTTATGACATTATGAGAATTTCACAAATTCCAGTCTATTTAGATTTTTTATTGACATAGCTCGTTTTGTGAATTATGCTCATTGGTTAATTCAGATAATGTTTGTCCCAATAATCATAGCTGTTTGGGTTTCTAGCATTGTACAGTCGTCTTCAGCGAACATGTCGCGGTTGGACGGTATGAGCGCTCTTATTGCAGCAGTGATCAAGGGAGCTGACACCGTCCATGTGCGACATGATCTCTGAAGACGACTGTACGTTGACGAATAACTCTAGCAATTCACATGCATGACAGTTATTAGGCAATCATTCGAAAATCGTAATTCGGCTCATTTCGCTCTAGTGTTTCATTAGTATTGGGACTGACAAAGATACAGATCGCGTTCATTCCACTGCTGTTCTCGGTCATGGGTGCCCGTGTTCAATTATTGTTCAATTATTGTTCAATGGTTTCGATCGGTTTCGATCGTCCGAATCGATAGATCCGTGCCTTGTAGGTGAATGTCTGTGATGTAGCAAAGTTTTGTTTTAGTGCTGGCTGTGAACCGATCTGTGTGGAATACGCACCGTGCATTGCATTATTGCAATGAAAAAAGTATTCTCCATACCCACTTTTCATGGCCTAAAATTGGTTTATTTCAAAAACAAAATGATCGATGGGATTTTGAATCAAAATATCTGGGTTTCTGTGAGGGAAGTTTTATTAACAATTCTCATCATAACTCCGAAGGAAGGGTAAATATAAGTATTCAACTTCTCATTTCTTGATAAATTCGTCAGTAATGCATATAGATGATATTTCTCCGAAAAAATCAATGAGTAATCTCAAAAAACTTCCACAGATACCCAAATATTTCAATTCAGAGACTAAACGTATTTTTTTGTTTTTTTGAAAACAATAACTTTGGACCATGAAAAGTGATAGTGTGGATAGGATATTTATTTTCATTGCAGTAATTCAAAGCACGGTTTCATAATGCATACCATCGAATAATGTTGATTAGATAACCTTATTACCACCGTTTGATGAATATACTAGAGTAGAAAAATATTGGGATAACTGTTGAAAATGAGCTATATTACAATAGCATGTCAAAATGTCAGGTTTCATGCAGATATCAGATAACTATAATAAAATGAGACGAATTACTGCGTTACCTCAAGATGGTTGTGCCAGTAATAAAACATGCTGTTTTATGTCGATAGTCTAATAACCACTGTAGAGTGGAGAGTTACTGCAACATTTTATGGGAATAATTCCTATTCGACATTCTGTGTTATCATAGAAACTAGAACAAGTAGTAGTTATTCAGCAGCGGTGTTTTTATACAAGTTTGCAAATTGAATAAGCTGTCATAACTACAAGTCACCTGAAAATTCACTTCATCTATGGTAGCAAATGAACACATCTGTCCCCTATTTATTGCAGATATCGTAATAACGGTTATCAGATTTCCAATTATGATAACTCAAGTTTTCTCTCAGTGTACAGACAGTATTTAGTACTTGTTGGTTTCCTATAAATTGAAAAGTTGAAAGGTGCAGTTTTTTGACAGCCTTACACAGAATCAATAAGGTACGTACATTAAATGAAAAAAATGATCGTGAAAATGTATTTCGACATCAATTTTCAACCGATGCTCTAATTCATTGATTTGATGTATTGTTGATAATTGGCTGACGTTCAAGTGACTATATTAATCCTTGAGAGGCATTAATTTCATCATCTGAGTTATGAACCGAAAAACATTCTCCTAATGTCAATTGTTTATTAGTCAATCATCATTTCCATCGATACAATCCCAGGAGTACATGAATATCAAGCATTGTACTAATGTTTTCTGTACATCGACCAATCACTTGCAGTGTTCATATCGATGAACCCATCAGGCCATTGATTCAATCACCTGGACATTATCTTTTAGCCATTCCCATAATGACTTTTGTAACATTGTTCAATCAACTGTCCGTATTTGTTTAAAATGTTCGCAGACATCAATATAATAACAACAAACATCAACCTAAAAGCATGCTATGCAGGCTGCGCCTCTTAAATTGAACGCCCACCCAACTTTTTCATTTTCGAATAAATGAAAAATAAAAACTGAAGGGAAATGTTGGTTCAGATAAAATGAATTACAAATTGGTTCATGTTTTCTCGATTATTCCACTCAATTCAAAATACACGTTTTTGATTGGTTGAAATATCCGTGTTATGATAGAAAACATTATGCTTTCGATTTTGTATTTTGGCAGTTGATTGGACACTGGATAACTATATGCTGTGTTTTCGATTCCGTATTTCGTTTCCAGGTAGTTTTTTTCATGGTATGAAGTCCATATCAATCTAGAAGTAAAATACGAGGTAAAATATACCATGATTTGATTATATATAATAATTATAATGATGTGATTCAGATTACCAGTCTGAATCCTGCGATGGTTATTTATACATTGGCCATTTTCCTTGAATAGTATAGAAGTTGTCTAGCGGGTATTCATTTCATTCAACCTAAATTTGCTACAGGCCTATCAGCAAATGATCAAATTTCTCCGAGGATGAATTGTCGAATTTGAGCAATCTTACTGTCGCCTCTGCATCTTCCTCGGGAAATGAAATGAATTAGGTACATTATTTATATATTTACATATCATTATACAGGGTGTCCCGAAATCAGCCTACCAGACTTCACCAGCGACTTCTAGGTCCAAAAATAGGAAGAAAAGTTCCAATAAACATGAATCGGAAAATGTCTCCTAAGGGAACTACGGCCTCCTGAAAAGGGAAAAAGGTCTTTTGTTATCACGTATCGTTCAGATGTATCATTCTCGAGTAAAATCTGCTGAATGAAATTTTGAGTGTAACCGACTTTTATTTTGAAATCGTGTCCCATTTTTCAATAAGTCATATAATAATAATTATTATATATACTAACTATACAACCTTTTATTCTAACCAAAGGCAACAAGAATCTACCGGCTACAAAAACACAACAAAAACTTCGTCTCAACCCTGCAGTCTTGCCGTTACAATGTACATTTTCGTATAAGTAACTAACTAAACTAAATAGCGGAAATAGGATGCACATTGGCGTCAGGATGCGTCGAAGAGGTGGGGATGTAGGTAAACATTTATCAAACGATGATTGTTCTAGCATTGCCTCAATGCCTTCACACATTAACAAAATAACCAAACGCATTAGGAGAGGGACGCAGTGTATTGTTTTAATGTAAGTTTCATCAACCCATGATTTTTTCAGCCTGACTAAATACTCTCAGACATTAACAGAATTACCAAATACATCAGGTTATGGACGCAATGTATTGATATAATGTAATTTGATCAACCAATGATTTTGTAGTATCGTCTCAATGCTCTAAAGCATTAACACAATAAACTGAATACATTAGGTGATGGACGTAGTTATTATAATAATGAAATATATATTTTCATTTATTGGTCAATGTTTTCAAACATTGAGAATGAAACTTCAATGGATCAACCTAATATGAATGAGCCGTTGATGTTATGCTTGTTGAGCATAGCTCAATTATGCATTATCACAATGCGTCATGATGATCAAGGGTACACAATATTGATCACTAGGTGGTCATTCATTCAATATATTTTTTACATTGTTCTGATGTAAATTTCATAATATACATGACTTTTCTCATTATTTCATGAAATAACAACATTATGATAATGGTCTAGACTTCGTTATACCAACTAAATGATTGATTGACCAGTCACTGAAATTCATTATTTTCAATCAGTTTTTGGAATTGTACTGATGAAAAAAACGTCAAACATTAGGAGTGATTGATTTCAGGTTCATTTTTTCTTCCGTTTAGAAAATGTGTGTAAGAAACTCACTGCCTCTGATGGTATCCCCTTGCGCCTGCTGCGACCGCACCCCCTCCGGCACCTGCGCCGGCACTGGCCCGTCGGTGGGCCGGTGCATCCTAGTAGGCCTAGCACTAGGCCTTGCCGGCCTGGCCGCCTCCAGAGGCTCGCGCTGCCACGCGGGATGCAGCAGCTCCCGTTTCCAGAACTCCTTCTCTGCCATGGCGAACGGGTGGGGTGGGTTCACATAGTTCACCTGCGACAATCAGAAGATATGTACAGAGTGTCTCCGTATATTTTGACTCCTACATATACAGGGTGGCCCACGGTCGATGGTACCTTAGACGTATACGGAAAACGGTACATTGGATTATCCTGAGAATTTGGTTACTCTAATAAGCGTTTGTGATCTAACGATTCAAAATATTTTCAGCGATGCAGCGTTGCCACTTTTACCAAAAAGTAGCATCATATTTGTTATTTCATTGCGTTTTTAAATTCTTTTCGAAGAGCTGATTTCATCAATGTATCACACTTGGGGTCTAGCAGGAATTATTACAGAGATATAGGGTGTTCAAAATCGAGATTTTTCAATTTCAGGAATTTTTTGTGTCGAAACTATTCATTATCGATCAAAACGGCTTACATCTTAACTTTTGATTTACTATCTACTGACATTCAATTGAAACAGATACAGGGTGATCAACATTCTGAATCTTGGACTGTAATATATCGGGACTTGGGACAGGTTCAAGCAATTGAGGCCAGTCTCTTCTCGTGTCCAAAATCATTCTTATTCTCTTCATTCCCCAATTTAGTACAGTTTACAATATATTTATTCATATAAGCATCATATTATATCTGACGCACGTCAGAATTAACCTAGTTATATCTTATACATTATAATATACCGTACGTTACTAAATTACCTAATATACTACCAAGTATTTGCTTCATCTTATAACATTTACATCTACATATACTACAGGACCATTCTGTATTTTTTCCAATTGAATGTCGGTAGATAGTTAATCAAAAGTTAATATAGGGACATGTAGATCACAAACGCTTATTAGAGTAACCAAATTTTCAGAATAATCCAATGTACCGTTTTCCGTATACGTCTAAGGTACCATCGACCGTGGGCCACCCTGTATACAGCTTCTATACTATACTATACAAAAGAAACTAAGAATATGGAAGCTGTAGGATTCGAAGCTGTGCTATTTTTTTTTCTTTTTTTGTTATTGTACACCACCCAACAGAAATCCATTCAACTGGGTGGGAGAATTATAGGTACAAAAAATGTATAGATTTATCGATTGGATACAGATAAAAAAATAAGGTAAGACGAATTGAAACATAATAGCAGTAAAAAATAATTTCATAAACTGATTTTTTTCAACGAAGCAATGCTGCAAGAGAAAATGTCACATCTCTCATTGATGTTATTGTAATTGCTGCAAATTCTGTATAAAGATGAGTTTTTTTGTACATTTGTTTGAGGTACTTCGGGGTAAAATAGATTGTTTTGCCTAGAATTGACTATGGGGACATGAAAACTGAGCATCCTTAACAGAGCTTCACAGCTGATTTTGCCATTGATTATCTTATAAAGAAATATCAGAAATATCTCTAACTAAGTTTGATCAGATATTCCAACTGCAGGGTAGACACCATCTTCCTTGAATGAAAGATATTTCATGAAACGTCTATTGATTCTTTCAATTCTATTTATATGAACATTATAGTATGGACACCATATGACAGAAGCATACTCCGCTTTAGATCGAACATAGGAGCTATACAAAAGGAGCAGTGTATCCGTTTTTGTAAAATATGTCGCGGTGATGAATAACGTGACAGAAGATTCTGGAATGTTCTGGAAAATATCGATGCAACAATAAGAGGGGGAGGTATTGTTCAAAGAAGCTTCTACAAAAAAAAGAAGGGTACGGAAGATCATTCGCGAACTTTCGAGAATCAGAGCCTACCAAGGGATCTCATATATAAGGACGGCCGGACAACTGCCGTCAGTTAATCAAGCAGCGAGTGTCAGAGAGACAGTCATATACAGCGTGATATAAATCGTGATATAGATAGTAGTTTTAAGTTCGATATAAATTAGGGTTCCTTAAGTTAATATAAATCAGTTCGAAAATAAATAGTGTCGTGTTCGCTTCTGCACCCGAATAACGTAACAATATTAAGAATATTGAGCTCTATCATAGATTATACCAGAGTTTAGATATATCAAAATGAGTCAATGTGAATTCTGATGCCAGTTGTTCTTTGGAGTATCACTCCATCTCTGATTTTAGCAGCAGTAAAAAGGAGTTGAGGCTTGAACTGACAGTCATTTTATATTCTCTGTTTTCTCCAAACATCTGGAATACGAGTCTCTATATATTCATGTAATATCAGAGATATCAGAGATTTGGATCGTGGATGAAAATTGAAGGCATAATCAACTGATTTATGCAGTTTCCACGATAGGTAGTACCTGTTATGTAAAAATGCCTCAAATACCTATATCTGTAATTCATTTTGAAGGTTTGATACATGATATATTCGAATAGGCACTAATAGTATAGGGGTAACTGAAAGTACGATGATATATTCAAAGATAACAATATTTATTATATAACACGAAACAATATGGGTAAAGTGATGAATATAGCAGAATAACAATGGATATTAAAACCAAATAACAACCGACATTATAATAACCATTACGACGAGTTCTTGTCAAGTCAAGAGTAACCCCAGACCAGACTAACTTCAGAACCCTCACATGCAATATTAACATTACATTACATTATTTTATTAGACTTGCACGTTTCTCATGAGAGTTCCTTGGTCAGTTTCTATAGTTCAATGTCAACGGATGATTTGATGAACTTTATGTTTATAAAACCCTCATGGTTCGGAATTACTATATTCTACTCGTGACATGACCCCCCTCTCAGAGAAAACTGGTCCCCAGTTTCAAAATTACTACCTACCTAAAGATATCGAGGAGAAACAATACATCTTGTAAATTGAGTTCACACACTCAAAAGTTCAGTGTCTACAATGCACATTCACACTTTCACTTAGTCCGGCACTGGCCATTCAACTGCAATTTAATCATACTCGGTGAAACTCCTGGCAGCTTGGGGACGACTGGGCATGGCATCTTCTCATCGTCAAGGAAATTTCGACAGGTTCCTTCTGGGCTCTTAGGTATTCTTGTCCTGGGCATTGGGATGAAATCTCTTGAGCTTTAGTAATTGGCAGCTGAACGATGGAAACTGCTGGCTTCTTGGGGTAGCGAATGACGACTGATGGTCATGGCATCCTTCAATCATCGTAAGAATTTCGGCAGGATCCTTCTTGGACTCGAACGGTATCCTCGTCCTGGGCATAAGGGTGGGATCTTTATGGGCTTCAAAGATTATTTGTCTTCTTCCGTTCAGGGCTGGTACTTTGAAGTAGGAATCCTTCAAGATATCCTAGCTTCTAGTATTGGCCTGTCTTTTTGGGGTAGTTGGCAGATGAGTGAAAAGAGTGGCCAGCTTTCATGGCAGTTGCTGTGACAACTGGTAGATGACTTGGTCCATGGAAGAAACGATGAATTCCCGTCATTTGAGAGGTTGGTCAAGCTATCCACAACTTGTAGCAACTCGTGGCATTCCTACGTGTCTCCTCTCCCTTCTTGAACTACCCAGTAGCTACCATCGAATCATGCTGTATAGTCAAACAGTCCCTGATGGTTTGTTCGTGTTTGGCTAATTGGCGGCGTGTCGTGTCTGAGTTCTTGATGAGTGGTATATGCCAGTGCTTAGTGTGCGTGCATTGTTATGTATGACACCGTGAAAATTTGCAAAATAGCGAATGTCAATTATTTACGTTATTATCTACTGTGAAATGAGGAATCCTTCAATAACTCTATTATTATTTAATGAATAATATCGGCCCGGCGCCTCCACCATGGCTCGATATGGGGATGGCGAAAGGTAATATTCGAATAGGCACTAATAGTTCAGGTGTAACTAAAAGTACGAGACTATATCCAAAGATAACAATATTTATTGAAACTCGAAACATTATGTGAAGTAATGAATATAAAATAATTACAATGGATATGAAGACCGAATAACAACTTACATTATAATTACCATTACGACGAGTTCTTGTCAAGTCAAGAGTAGCCCCAGACCAGAATAACTTCGGAACATCCACATCCAATATTCATATACATCATTTTAATAGACTTGCACGTTTCTCATGAGAGCTCCTTGGTCAATTTTCATAGTTCAATGTCAACGGATGAGTTGATGATAAAATAATAAATTAAAAATTACCAATATACTGTATGTACTACTCGTGACAATATATTCCATTCTATGACGATAGATATGCTTTATCAAGATATAAGACTGAGGCGATTTGAATATTCCGAACATACCAAGGGAAACCTATAACCTGCCAATCATAAAGATCTTGGCTACAGGCCAAATATTAGGCAATACATGCCATGGAATTTTCCTTATCACGACTAGCTATACTAGCATCTCAATGTACCAGCTGAAACGCTATATAAACATCCGTGACCTGACCTACAACCTTCGAGATCAATATTTCTTTTCCCTTGTCATGGTAGATTTTCCGCTTCACACGATAAGAAAAAACCCTTGCCGCACGAAATAAAGGATGACTGCTGTGCGTACAGGGTATCCCACATAACTTGGGCCACCCCCTTATCTGGTAAACTATTTTATATACAGAAAAAAGTTCAGCATAAAAATTGTATAACTTCTCATGAAATTTAATTTTTAGATACTGTCATTTATACAGGATGATCCATATGTCTGTGACATATCACAAATACGTTTTTTCAAATGGAACACCCTATATTTTATCATATTTTTGGATAGTCCTTCAGAAGACAAGTTCAATGATATATTATAACATGGGTCTGAGATCACCCGTTTCGGATTTATACACGATCTTCTTCAATAAATTGTCTAATTTCAAAGCCCTATAGAAACGTTGTGAATGAAGTTTTCGATTCGCAACTTTTGCTATAAATTAAAAAAGTCTGTATATTATCATGTTCTGTGGTGAAAATTTAGGAATTTTGAATTTGCCAAAAGTGATGACGTATTTTGAAAACCAATAATTATCTCGAGATTTTCAAATGGAACACCCAACATTTTATTCCATATTTGCATAGAACTC